ATGCCTGTACCAGAATAACTTATGCTACTCATAAATATATTCATCTGTCTATGTACTCACAATATATTTTAAAAAGAATGTTTAGTGCCGGTGCACGGTTGGTCTCACGCCTGTTAATCCCAGCACTTTTGGAAGGCCGATGCAGCGGATCTACCTGAGGTCTGGAGTTCAAGGAACCAAGCCTCTGGACCAACATGTGGAAAAACTCCGTCCTTACTAAATACAAAAAATTAGGCCAGGTTGTATGGCAGGCGCCTGTATCCCAGTACTGGGGAGGCTGAGGTGGGTTAATTACTGAGCCCGGGAGGCGGGGAAGCTGCGGGTGAGGCTGAGATCGTTGCCACTTTCCACTCCAGGCCGGGCAACAAGAGTAAACTCCGTATAAAGGGAAAAAAAAAAAAGGAATGGTTGTAAAATTATGCTAACATTTACAGCCAGAAATTAGGCGTAGGCGCAGTGGGCTCATGCTTGTATCCCCGGCACTTTGGGAGGCTAAAAGGTCAAGGCAGAATCACTGAGGGCCAGGAGTTAAGATCATCCTGACGCAACAGTGGGTCTTACTAAAAATATAAAAGTAGGCCGGGCGCAGTGGTCGTAAGTCCCTGTAATCCCAGCACTTGGGAGGCGAGACGGCGCGAATCACGAGGTCAGGAGATCGTACACCATCCCTGGCTAACACGGTTGAACGCGGCGTCTCTACTAAAAAATCAATACAAAAACTAGCCGGGCGAGGTGGCGGGCGCCTGTAGTCCCAGCTACTCGGGAGGCTGAGGCAGGAGAATGGCGTAAATCCAGGAGGCGGAGCTTGCAGTGAGCTGAGATCCGGCCACTGCACTCCAGCCTGGACGACAGAGCCAGACTCCATCTCAAAAAATAAAAATAAATAAAAAAAATAAAAAATAAAAATATAAAAAGTAGCCAGATGTGGTGGCATGTGCCTGTAGCCCTAGCTACTTGGGCAGCTGAGGTGGGAGAATAACTTGAACCTGGGAGGTGGAGGTTGCAGTGCACCAAGATTGTGCTACTGCACTCCTGCCTGGGTGACAGAGTGAGACTCTGTGTCAAAAACAAACAAGCAAATAAACAACTTTACGGCAGAAATTGGATAACAGCTCGAGAAAACGGCATTCAAAATTGAAGGTTAATTAAAATTCAAATGAGAGAATAAGAAAACAAACCCTAAAGGGCATGGTCTTAACTAAAATAAGGGGTTTAGATTGCAAGGACAGAAAGCAGGGTAAGGGTGAACTGAGGGGGGCTTCGATTCTGTGGGCAGAGATTAAATGCTGAAAGGACTTCCAGGCAGAACTTGGAGTTGGGGGTGGGTCTTGGGGTCTCCAAGCAGGGATTTACCTGGGGAGAACCGAGGTGCAGCAGGTACTCCAGGGTCTCTCTTAAGGTGCCCAGCTCCTGCTCCAGGCCACTGTATGTGTCCCAAACCCTCTCTCGCTCCTCAGGTTGCATAAAGGGGGAGACACAGGTTAGCTCCCTCTCCCACCAGATCCTTCCCTACCCTATCATTTTTCAGCTAAGAAGGAGGTAAGGGAGCTGGGTCCCTGGAGTCGTGAGGTCATATGGACTACAATTCCCATGGGCCTCTTTGCTTGGTCTACTGGGAACCCCAAAGTCTGTATGGAACCTGCAATTCCAGTGCACTGCTAGTACAGACAAGTAACAGCATTCCCTGAATCCCCAGGATTACTTCTGCACTATCCTAGGTAGCAGAGTCTACAGATCTAATGAATTCATTAGACAGTCAAAAGATCACAGCACCAGGCCAGGAGCGGTGGCTCAATTCTGTAATCTCAGCACTTTGGAAGGCCAAGGCGGGCGGATCACTTGAGGTCAGGAGTTCGAGACCAGCCTGGCCAACATGGCGAAACCCCGTCTCTACTAAACATACAAAAATTAGCCAGGAGTGGTGGCGAGGGCCTGTAGTCCCAGGTACTCGGGAGGCTGAGGCAGGAGAATCAGCTGGACCAGGGAGACAGAGGTTGCAGTGAGCCTAGATCCGGGCGCTACACTCCAGCCTGAACAACAGAGCAAGAATCCGTCTCAAAAAAAAAAATAAATAACCATAGCACCCACTCACCCTGCGGCAGCAGGAAGTTCCTTGCCAATACCAACAATAACAATGATAATATCAGCTAACACTTATTGGGCATTGACCATGGGCTAGGCACCGTTCTCAGCTCTCATTTAATTCCTATGAGGTAGTTACTATTAGTGTCTCCATTTTGCAGATAATAGTTATAACTGACACTTAAGTATTGCTTACCACGTGCCAAGTACCTGAAGTGTTAAATATTCATTCATTCATTCATTTACACATATCACATATAATAATTCTCAGAGTTACTTAAGGCCGGGCACAGTGTGGCTCATGCCTGTAATCCCAGCACTTTGGGAGACTGAGGCAGGCTGATCACCTGAGGTTAGCAGTTTGAGGACAGCCTGGCCAACATGACCAAACCCCATCTCTACTAAAAATACAAAAATAAGCCGGGTGCGGTGGCACGTGCCTGTAATCCCAGTTACTCGGGAGGCTGAGGTGGGAGAATTGCTTGAACCCGGGAGGCGGAGGTTGCAGTGAGCTGAGATGGCACCACTGCACTCCAGCCTGGATGACACAGCAAGACTCCGTCTCAAAAAAAAAATTAAAAAAATAGAGTGGTTACAAGACAATGAGGAGAGAGAAAAATAATAAAATAAAATTTGGAGTGTAGACTTCTGAAGAACGATCTTCCTATGAGCCCTCTGCGGCAAGTCCCCTTCATAACCACTTGCATAGTCCTGGGGCCTCCTAGGAGGGTGGGCCCCTTCCCAGGTGCTCACCTGAGTCAAGTGACAGAGGGTCGCCCTCACACTGACCAGCCGGTCCTGCAGGAGGCGCTGGCGACCCCAGGCCCTCCCGGGAGCCCCAGCCTCCCTGGTGGCTTGGCCCAGCTGCTGCCGGGTCAACTCCAGAGCTGCTTCTAGTTGCTCCTGCACCAAGAGAGAGGGTGGTTAGACTTCGGAAGCCATGCCTAGTCCCAAGAATAAAGAAAAGGTGTCCTCTCACGTCCCGGACGTTCAGTCAGCATCCTGACTTCCACAGTCAGGAAGGGCTCAGGGCAGGCAGAGAGGCCAGGCACCCCATCCTCGGTCCAGGGCCTCGTACCTTCTCCTCCTGCCTCTGGTCTATCTCCTCCTGCAGCCTCCGCAGGAGCCGGTCCTGCCCGCACAACTTGGTCAGCAGCGTCTGGAGAAAGGAGAGCGGGAGCTACTGATGGTCCAGATCTGGCTCTTCCCCTGCCGCTCCTCCCACCATCTAGAACATTCTCTCCCCAACTCTGGGAACTCAGGAAGGATTGTGAGAACTTACATCTGTCTCCAAGCTTTGGTGGAAAGTTGACTCCAGGGGAGGACCCGGCTGAAGAGAGGGAGAAAAGTCAGGGGTCAAAGGGGATAGGCTGGTCATCATTGTAACTCAGTGCTGAGCCATGCCCTGTTTCTACTGATAGGTACCCCACTATTTATTTATTTATTTATTAAGAGATAAGGTCTTGCTCTGTCACCCAGGCTGGAGTGCGGTCATGCGATCATGGTTTGCTGCAGCCTCAACCTCCTGGGCTCAAGCAATCCTCCCACTTCAGCCTCCTGAGTAGCTGGGACCACAGGTGCACACACCATGCCCGGCTTATTTTTGTAGTTTTAAAATTGTTGTTGTTGCTGCTGTTGGTAGCGATGGAGTTTTGCCATGTTGCCCAGGCTGATCTCAAACTCCTGGGCTCAAGCAATCCTCCCACTTCAGCCTCCTGAGTAGCTGGGACCACAGGTGCACACACCATGCCCGGCTTATTTTTGTAGTTTTAAAATTGTTGTTGTTGCTGCTGTTGGTAGCGATGGAGTTTTGCCATGTTGCCCAGGCTGATCTCAAACTCCTGGGCTCAAGCAATCCTCCTGCCTCAGCCTCCCAAAGTGCTGGGATTATAGGCATGACCATCATGCCTGGCTTTTTTTTTTTTGAGGCAAGGTCTGTCACCCGGGCTGGGGTGCAGTGGCATGATCATGACTCACTGCAGCCTTGAACTCTTAGGCTCAAAGGATCCTCCCACCTCAGCCTCCCGAGTAGCTGTGACAACAGGTGCCAGCCACCAGTGCCGGCTAAGGTTTTTTGTTTGCTTGTTTGTTTGTTTGTTTGTAGGGCTGGGGTCTCACTATGTCACCTAGACCAGTCTTGAACTCCTGATCTCAACCATCCTCCTGCCTTGGCCTCCCGATGTCCTGGGATTACAGGCATGAGCCACCAAGCCTAGCGACCCCTCTCCTTATCAGCTTCCTTCTAAGCATTAGCAGACTTTAGTAGACCAACTACCAGATTCTTGGCTTCAGAAAGATCAATAATGGGCTTTTGATCAAATAGCCATGGCAAATATTATAATTAATGGAGAAGTTAAGACATTTTATTTATGATTAAGAATAAAATAAAGGGCCGGGCGTGGTGGCTCACGCCTGTAATCCCAGCACTTTGGGAGGCCGAGGCAGGTGGATCACAAGGTCGGGAGATCGAGACCATCCTGGCTAATGTGGGGAAAAGAAAGAGAGATCAGACTGTTACTGTGTCTACATAGAGAGAAGTAGACATCAGAGACTCCATTTTGTTCTATATTTGAGATGCTGTTAATCTGTGACCCTACCCCCAACCTTGTCCTTGCAAGAGACATGTGCTGTGGTGACTCAAGGTTTAATGGATTTTGGGCTGTGCAGGGTGTGCTTTGTTAAACAAGTGCCTGAAGGCAGTATGCTTGTGAAAAGTCATCACCATTCTCTTAATCTCAAGTACCCAGGGACACGTACACTGCCAAGGCCGCAGGGACCTCTGCCTAGGAAAGCTAGGTATTGTCAAGGTTTCTCCCCATGTGATAGTCTGAAATATGGCCGTGTGGGAAGGGAAAGACCTGATTGTCCCCCAGGCTGACACCCCTGAAGGGTCTGTGCTGAGGAGGACTAGTATAAGAGGAAAGAAGGCCTCTTGGCAATTGAGATAGAGAAAAGCATCTGTCTCTTGCCCGTCCGTCCCTGGGCAGTGGAACATCTCGGTGTAAAACTTGATTGTATGTTCTATTTACTAAGATGGGAGAAAATCGCCTTAGGGCGAAAGGTGGGACTTGCTAGCACAATGCTGCTCTTTATGCACTAAAAAGATTTATGGAGATGTTTACATATGCATATCAAGGCACAGCACTTTTCCTTAAACTTATGTCACAGAGATCTTAATTCATATGTCTTACTGCTGACCTTTTCCCTACGATGATCCTATATCCTGTCACTTCTCTTTTTCTTTTTTTTTTTTTTTTTTTAGACGGAGTCTTGCTCTGTCGCCCAGGCTGGAGTGCAGTGGCCGGATCTCAGCTCACTGCAAGCCGCCTCCTGGGTCTACGCCATTCTCCTGCCTCAGCCTCCCGAGTAGCTGTGACAACAGGTGCCTGCACCGCCCGGTAGTTTTGTATTTGTTGGTAGGGGTAGGAGACGGGTTCGACCGGTTAGCCAGGATGGCCAATTCCTGACCCGTTGATCCGCCGCTCTCGCCTCCCAAAGGCTGGATTACAGGTTGAGCCACCGTGCCCAGGCCAACTCTCGTTCTAAGATGGTAAAGATAATGATTTCGAATAATAACGGAGGAACTCAGAGGACGCGTCCAGCGTGTGCCCGTATTGCTGAGCGCCGGCCCCCTGGGCCCACTTTTTCTTTCTCTATACTTTGTCTCTGTGTCTCATTTCTTTTCTCAAGTCTCTCGTTCCACCTAACAAGAAACGCCCACAGGTGTGGAGGGGCAGGCCACCCCTTCAGCTAACACGGTGAAACCCGTCTCCACCGAAAAATACAAAAAATTAGCCGGGCGAGGTGGTGGGCACCTGTAGTCCCAGCTACTCGGGAGGCTGAGGGAGGAGAATGGCTTGAACCCGGGAGGCAGAGCTTGCAGTGAGCCGAGATCGCGCCACTGCACTCCAGCCTGCGCGACAGAGCGAGACTCCGTCTCAAAAAGAAAAAAAGAATAAAACAAAGTGCAGGGCACAGTGACTCACTCCTGTAATCCCAAAGCTTTGGGAGGCCAAAGAGGAAAGATCACTCAAGCCCAGGAGTCTAAGACCAGTCTGGATAACACAGGGAGACCTTCTCTCTGCAAAAAAAGCAAAAATTTAAAAATAGGGCCGGGTTTGGTGGCTCATGCCTGTAATCCCAACATTTTGGGAGGCCGAGGCAGGCGGATCACCTGAGGTCAGGAGTTCAAGACTAGCCTGACTAACATGGTGAAACCCTGTCTCTACTAAAAATACAAAATTTAGCAGGACATAGTGGTGAGCACCTGTAATCCCAGCTACTTGGGAGACTGAGGCAGGAGAATCACTTGAACCCAGGAGAAGGAGGTTGCAGTGAGCTGAGATCACGCCATTGCACTCCAGCCTGGGTGACAGAGCAAGATTTCGTCTGAAATGAATAAATAAATAAATAAGTAAATAAGCTGAGCACGGTGGTACACGCCTGTAGTCTCAGCAACTGGGGAGGCTGAGGTGGGAGTATCACTTGGGCCCAGGAGACTGAGGCTGCAGTGAGCCGTGATTGCACCACTGCACTCCAGCCTGGGTGACAGAGCGAGACTCTGTCTCAAGAAAATAAATAATTTATTTCTTTAATAATAATAATAATAAAAAAAGGCCAGGCGCAGTGGCTCAAGCCTGCAATCCCAGCACTTTGGGAGGCTGAGATGGGCGGATCACGAGGTCAGGAGATCAAGACCATCCTGGCTAACACGGTGAAACCCTGTCTCTACTAAAAAAATACCAAAAACTAGCCAGGGGAGGTGGCGGGCACCTGTAGTCCCAGCTACTCGGGAGGCTGAGGCAGGAGAATGGCATAAACTCGGGAGGCAGAGCTTGCAGTGAGCTGAGATCCGGCCACTGCACGCCAGCCTGGGCGACAGAGTGAGACTCCGTCTCAAAAAAACAAACAAACAAACAGCCTGGGTAACATGGCAAAACCCTGTCTCTACAAAAAGTAGGAAAAGGGTCAGGTGCATTGGCTCACGCCTGTAATCCCAGCACTTTGGGAGGCCTAGGCGGGCGGATCACGAGGTCAGGAGATCGAGACCATCCTGGCTA